AGGGAACTCTGAGGGATCTGATTTGAGAGATTGTATGAATGGTAACCCCTTTCACTGTGATCAGGAATAATGAAGGAAGAGTGGATTTGAGGAGCAGGTTAGAGGAGAACAGAGTATTGATTTTGAGGCACCTGTGGCATGTCCCAGTGGAAATGTACCACAGGCAATTGAATATATATGTCTGAAGCTCAGAGAAATGGTCTGGGCTGAGGTTATAGATCCAGGAGTCATCAGCACATAATTGGTTCTTTAATTCATGAGAAAGGGCAACAGCACCCCAATGAATGCAGTGCTAGAAGAGACATGGGCCCACAGAAGAGCCCTGCAGCCCAACGGCATCTTTGGTATAGGTGGAGGAAAATGAGCTCATGAAAGAGTCTGATAAGGAATGACCAAAGAAGTAGGGAGAAAAACAGGCGAGGCGCGGTGGCTCATGCCTGTAATCCCAGCACTTTGGGAGGCCGAGGCTGGCAGATCACCTGAAATCAGGAGTTCAAGACCAGCCTTGGTGAAACCCATCTCTACTTAAAATGCAAAAAATTAGCTGGGTGTGGTGGAGCACACCTGTAATCCCAGCTATTCAGGTAGCTGAGGCAGGACAATCACTTGAACCCGGGAGGTAGAGGTTGCAGTGTGCCGAGATCACGCCACTGCACTCCAGCCTGGGTAACAGACTCAGACACCGCCTCAAAAAAATAAAATAAAAACCCAGGAGAAAGGAATGTCACAAAACCAAGGGAAGAGATTGTTTCAAAAAGAGGGAAGAGTGTCGAGGTCAATAGTGATGAATGCTGCCAAGAATCAAGAAAAGTAAGACCTGAAAAAATGTCTGGGGATTTTGACGATCAAGTGGTGGTCTCTGGTGACCTTGGAAGGAACAGCTTCAGTGCACATGTTTGTGACATAGATTGCTCGTTGCTTACCCTGATATCCATCCTCCTCTTCTTCCCTAGTAATAAGCCATCTGATCTTTAGCGAGATACATAGCATCACTGAATAAAGGACAAGAGGACTAGGGTCACACGCTAAGGATACAGGATTAGTAAACTAGAAAGAACCTGGATCCATAACAATTTCATGAAGCCAACGTGAACTGCCGACCGCTGGATTTCTTTTAGGTGAGGCAAATAAATGTATGTCTTATTTAAGCCATTGTTATTTCAGAGTCTATTCCATGCAGCAGTTTCCTGATTGTAGTAAGTTGAGATATGAATAGCAGATATTCATGACAATGGGTATGGAATGCTTTCCCAAGAAACACCTGAGCTTATTGATTTCAAGGCTCTCCCCAAATACAGCCCCAACTGCTTTTATAGCCCTTTCCTTCCGTTTTTCTGAGCGTACTAAATACAGTTGCCTATATTCCACCTAAACAGAAGGCTTCATTATAACCAGATATGCCCTGCCTTCTCTTACCTAGGAGCCTTTGCTCATGCAATTTTGTCCCCATGGGGAACACCCCCTGTTACAACTACCCTTCTGGTATATCTACGCTCTGTTACAACCTCCAACATTTTAAGTTTCACAATGTTTTAGGTCCCAGCTGGGTCTTTGAGATCCTGGGGTAACTTAAAGGAACACAGAGTCAGAACCTTAGGAGATATTGTTGGATTCAAGGAAGTCAGGAAAAATCTCAGTCCAAATCCATCAGAGGCATTCCCAAAGATTGTCAAACCCAAACTTCCCCAGACCCCTTCCAATTCCACCACCTTCATAACATAATACCATAAACACCCTTATCTTATAACCTGGGGATCAGAGGGCAGGAGGCAACCTTATCAGGAGAGAAAAGACAAATTAGTTCATAATCTTTACCCTTTGACCAGAGATACTTCCTCCCACCTTCTCCTTGTGAACTCTTGGAATCTTGATCTTCAGCATCCACCCATAAACTCTGAAGAACCTAGGTCACTGGGTCTCAGACCCATTTCTAGCACCCATAGATTAGTAGACAAATATCTGAGACCATATAGATCCTACGTATCAACTAATGGGAAAGATGAAAGGCTGTTATCATCAGGCGGCTCTGTTCTGAAGATAAGGAAAGGCAAGCTAAGCATTGCTTAGTCCAGAATGCCGGGACGCAACTGTCTAATACCACAGGCATCCAAGACTCCAGATCCCTGAAGTTCAAATGGAAAGCCCGGAATATCCCCACCACCAATCCTATCCTGGCACATTTCCCTTCTCCCAAAATATACAGAATCTGTGTCTCTGAATTTTGGAAAATTCAGAGGTGATGCTGGGAGTGGGTGGCAAAGGTTTCCTTTTAAGGCTGCCCATCACTTCTTTAGTCATTTAAACCATGCAGCTCAGCATAGAAATCAACTTTAAATTGGACATCAGACATTCTTTTTCTTCAGATTTCCATAGCCATTCCCACCATTTGGAAACACCTGATCATTGGTCCTTCTCCTAGGCCCCATTCCACATCCCTGTTGGACCCTTTCTGTCCCCCAGCATGCTGGCAACTTCTTTCCTTTCCATTTCCAAGCTCCTGTGTTCTCTCTCTCTCTCTCTCTCTTCCTCACCCCACCCCTAGGGTCTCACTCTGTCACCCTGGTTGAAGTGCAGTGGTGTGATCCCGGCTCACTGCAACCTCCGCCTCCTGGGCTCAAGTGATCCTCCCATTCCAGCCTCCAGAAGTAGCTGGGACTACAGCACATGCCACCACACCCAACTAATTTTTTTTTTTTTTTTTTGGTATTTTTGTTAAAGACAGGGTTTCACCATGTTGCCCAGGCTGGTCCCAAATTCTTGGACTCAAGCGATCCACCTGCCTTGGCCTCCCAAATTGTTGGGATTACAGGCATGAGCCACCAAAACTGGCCTTTGTCCTCCTTCTTGAGCTGCTGGTAAAATCTCATTTTTCCCCTTTTATCTGTAGGGTAGTTTAATTTACTTTGTTTCATTCCAAGCCCTAAGGGCTATCTTTCCACAGCAAAAATGACATTTTGTTAAACAAAAGTCAAATTTCCCATAGATGAGGAAACCTGTTACCTACTTTTGGACTAACTCTGATTCTCCCCTGTTGTCTGTATATCGAGTCCTTCCTCAGCACAAGCTATGAGCCATGATTAGGCCATTCAACAGAAAATGAGCACCAACTATGTATTAGACACCTCTACAGAGGTGGCCCTTGCTCTTAAGGGGCTTATTTTTATATTGCGCGAACACTAGCCTCATTTCACACATGGCAATATTAAGAGTGAGAGAGGTAATTTGCCCAAGGCAAGGCGACCAATAGGTGGCACAGAGAGAACTTGAACCCAGGTCAGTGGAATATCAAATACCAAAGCCTTAACCACTACACTATACTTTGTCCAATTTTTTAAGTACCAGAATATCCTTTCCAACACTCTTCACAGACATATGCTAGGCACATTACGGTATGTTTTTCATCTATGGAGGCAAGTCTAACCCAATATCCACATGCCCATTTAGATATTGTCATAAAGTGTCATAGGAAATATAATTACGTCATTGTTATGAGATCAACATGCAGTTTTTAACATTTGATTTTTATGAATTTCATGCTTGTACATGACAACAAATGAAATAGTACAGATCATATAAAAACTAATAGTCCCCTGCCTCAACCCTCTCCATCTCCATCCCACCCCCTCAAAGCCAACTTTTAACAGATTTTAGTTTTAGCTCTACTGTTGGTTCCCTTTACAACTCTAGATAATATGCGTGTTATGTTTCTTTTAAAAAACAAATAGACAATATCCTACTGACTTCCAGAGATGGCAATAAAGATTTTGTTTATGTACACTCCCTCATTTTTCCCTCTACTCTCCTGCAATGGTTAACACTGATTTTTGGTTTTGGTTAATTTTGTAACTTGAAAAAAATATACTCAGACCTGTATTTTGTATTTCATCCATTTTTGACAGGTAATTTTGACTCCCAACTTTTTTTTTTTTTTTTGAGACGGAGTTTCACTCTTGTTGCCAGGCTGGAGTGCAGTGGCATGATCTTGGCTCACCACAACCTCCGCCGTCCGGGTTCAAGCGATTCCCTGCCTCAGCCTCTCGAGTAGCTGGGATTACAGGCATGCCCCACCATGCCCGACTAATTTTTTGTATTGTAAAAATACAAAAAATTAGCAGGCGTGACAGGGTTTCTCCATGTTGGTCAGACTGGTCTCGAACTCCTGACCTCATGATCTGCCCACCTCAGCCTCCCAAAGTGCTGGGATTACAGGCATGAGCCACCGCACCCGGCCCGACTCCCCACTTTTTTCTTTTTTTTTTTTTTTGAGACGGAGTTTCTCTCTTGTTACCCAGGCTGGAGTGCAATGGCATGATCTCCGCTCACCGAAACCTCCGCCTCCTGGGTTCAAGCAATTCTCCTGCCTCAGCCTCCCGAATAGCTGGGACTATAAGCACACACCACCATGCCCAGCTAATTTTTGTATTTTTAGTAGAGACGGGGTTTCACCATATTGACCAGGATGGTCTTGATCGCTTGACCTCGTGATCCACCCGCTTCGGCCTCCCAAAGTGCTGGGATTATAGACGTGAGCCCGGCCTCCCTACTTCCTAAGACAAGGCTATTATGGCCACAACCTTCCCCCTGTCCATTCAATGTCCCATATTGATAGTTATATCTTTCCTTTTACATTGCCCTGGTCGTTAACATTTACATTCTGTTCTGCAGCCACAATCAGATCTTCTCTGCTTTGTCTCCCCACGTTGACTCTATGACCTGAAAACCAATAAACAGCATTCACATTATCACGGCTAGGTAAATATTTTTCAAAATCTAGCCAAGTAGTGAGCCTGGAATATACTTCCTTCTCTTCAAGTTCAATGTCACAGTCTTTGCGCCTCTCAGAGGAGAATGTTTCTAGCATCAAGGTCAAATTGAGTTTTTCTTATATTCCATCAGCTGTTCATAATCATTACATTTTATTTTGCCTTGTATTTGGCCAAGATTTTCTTGAATAATTACACACACACACAGTTTCTAAAAGCCTTTCTTTTTTCCTTGAAATATATGCTTTTATTGTATTCACTCACTCAACAAATATTTTTTGAGTGTTTACTACATGCCAGGTACCATTCTAGGAGATTAGGCTAGGGCAGTGAAGAAGACAGGTAGCAATCCTTGGCCCCAGTGGAGCTGATTCTAGTAAGGGAGAGAGAAAAAATAATCAGATAAATCAGTAACATGTATCCAAATTAAAATGTGTGATAAGTGCTATGGAGAAAAATTTCAGTTTGAAATAGATTGATCACAACAATGTGTTGTATATTTCAAAATAGCTAGAAAAGATGACTTGAAACGTTCCCAACACATAGAAATGATAAATGCTCAAGGCAATGGATACCGTAAATACCCTGACTTGATTATTACACATTCTGTGCATGTAACAAAATATCAACGTATCCCATAAATTTGTACAAATGTTATGTATCAATAACAAAAAATTAGGCTGGGCGCGGTGGCTCACGCCTGTAATCCCAGCACTTTGGGAGGCCGAGGCGGGTGGATCACGAGGTCAAGAGATCGAGACCATCCTGGTCAACATGGTGAAACCCCGTCTCTACTAAA